TAAGTCCGACAGCGAGAACAAGTTTTGAACTATCCCCGGACTGCTCCGTGTTGATTAGGTATGTGTGTGTGAAGCATTTGTTCCACGACTGCATTGACGGTAGGAGAATAGTATTGCAGTCACAGGTCACAACACCCTCTCCCTTCCGGCGCTTCAACTCGATGTCGATAAAACTCTGCTGATTGTTGATCGTCCAGATATCTCTTTGAGGCTTGAACAGCTCACGAATCTAGCAACTCTCATAAGAATTGCAGTGATGGTGTACGGTGACCTGTACTGAACAGCTGCTTCATTGTTTTGGGATCATGCGGTCAAGTGTTTTCCGTCGATCTTGTAACTCGGAGATAACGTTTTCGGCTCCCGATCCCGATGTTCATAGTTTAGGTTCCAAAAGTTACACAAGCATTTTTGGCACTAATGACCAGCCTCAAAAGGAACAAAACAGCTGTCCAGTACTTTTTATCAGTCAAGATATAGCAATTTCTCATTAGCTTTTGTCAACTTTAAAAATTTGAAAGGAATTGATACTCAACATGGACTTATGCGAGCTTAGTTTGCTGGGAATACAGGTGAACCTTTTGAATTGATGTTATCTGGGCATTGAGTATGGATGTCCAGGTATCATTTAGAGCTGTCTTACCATCACTGGAAATCTTCTCAGAGTTGCTAAACTCGTGCTCTGTTCAAGCCTCAAACGGATGTCCGGATGATCACCATTCAGTAGAGTTTTATCAACATCGTGATGAAGCACCGGAAGGGAGACGGTGTTGTTATCTGCCTCGTTCACATATGCCCCATATCCCAAAGCATATCTTCACCGTTTACCTTATCGGTGCAGGTATTGCTCTCTCCACCGAAAAAGCACATCGGGACATATGCAGCCGACTTATCGCTGGTCGGATTGAGACTATTAAATTTTTCGCTTGTTTCCGGGAAAATCAGACCAAATGTGTAAAATATCAATGCGTGATCATAATTCACGGGCCTGCTCATACACCACAATTGGAATGTTTCATCGCTTCTCCGTGAAAAAGAAATTGTGTGGAGCGAAGGAAAGTTTGGACAGCTCGCATTGGACGGAAAAACAACCACTCGGGTTTGAAGATACAAGCAATTTTGCATTATATCTCAACTCCTTCGTGGTCACCAACCTCTTGCTGAAACAATTTGTTCTACTCTGAATCGATCCAGTTTGAAAAAGACGCTTTGTGGGTTTTTCCACATCTGACGCAGCTGATTTTCGTATCAGCGAATTGAGACGCTTGAATTCATTGAATGTTTCCCGAAAACTCAACCCAACCAAATGTATTCTGTCAATGTCCGTTAAACTCATATTGCAACAACTGACTTTTGGTAGTGATGCGAATGCAGCGAATTTCTTCCGTCCGGTGTACACACGATTCGCAAGGAGAGAGAGGGACACAAATGTGTTTATGATTTCCGATCATGCTTTACCACTGGGGCCTAATTTCACTGGAATGAAATTGCAAATACTGCACAACGGAATTTCCTGGTTACTAGTGTGTGTTTCCGAACTGCTAAATCATACGGCAGAAAAAAGTTTCTTCGGAATCTACTGTGTACCCCAACTGGCTCAGGTTCTAACAAGCGTGAACAGACGAGAAACGGAATTATTTACAAATGTTAACCAGTTAGTTGGGTATCACCGTTTCACTGGCTGATCCCTACTAACAGGTGATTCATTAAGCCGGAAACACATCGTTGATTTGGAATTTTATTTGTGGTTCATTTTCACTTCTCGCCGATGAAACTCCTGTCAAATGGCAACACTTGCTCACAACTCACAGATCCATTCACACACTCACTCGAACAGTCTGTGCATGTGCCTGAGTGCTTTGCTTTGCCCGTTTAATACTCGTGAAAAACAAGTCACAGTTAGACCTAAAGGACGGTGACCAAGCGCGTTTGGTTCAGCTCAACATAACAAGACTGAGTTTTTGGGAAACACTCGATGAATTCAAGCGTCTCAATTCGCTGATACGAAAATCAGCTGCGTCAGATGTGGAAAAACCCACAAAGCGTCTTTTTCAAACTGGATCGATTCAGAGTAGAACAAATTGTTTCAGCAAGAGGTTGGTGACCACGAAGGAGTTGAGATATAATGCAAAATTGCTTGTATCTTCAAACCCGAGTGGTTGTTTTTCCGTCCAATGCGAGCTGTCCAAACTTTCCTTCGCTCCACACAATTTCTTTTTCACGGAGAAGCGATGAAACATTCCAATTGTGGTGTGTAAGCAGGCCTGTGAGCTGTGATCACACACTTTGACACAATGTAAATGAGCCACTGTTGAAATTTCTATTTAGCGGTGCAATTCCGGTTCAACGAATCGCGATTTATTTGTATTTACTAACTTTAAAATCTGATAGAATAGGGTATAAACAAATTACTTTGATAAATCTTACAGTCCAATGCAAATACGTAATAACCAGTTGCCCTGAACTCCAACACTACCGATGAATATTATAAGCAGTTAGTCTACAAAACATCCAAACGCTGGTGCTACATTTTGAAGAGATGAAGACACGTGATGTCTTGGGTAGACGGAATGAAAATGAGTGCATAATATCCACATTCTCAACTCCGAATGTCTGTGGACTTCATTTTCCGGGAAGATTAAACAAATGACTTTCGAACCATGTGACATGCCCCCATTGTTTGGTCCAAACCTAAATGCAAATGGTATTACCACAAAGACTGGTGACATCCGGAACTCGGAGAAAGAGCCTCTATCGCCAAAGGATAAATATCGTAGGGATGAACGGATGGCAACTAACTATAAGTGACAGGTTGCGCACGAACACAAAGTGTGTGCCTATCGGACGGAACCACTTATTTCCTGCACACTTACCGATGTGACAGGTTTCTCCACTGAATCCGATCGGACAGAGACATTTGTCCGAACTAATCGGGATGACTGAACGCAGACATCGAGCTCCGTTCAGGCACTTTAGTGGACCACACTGAATGGAATTCTCATGGTATTGGGCAGTCGCCTTGGACGGATCCGCTTTACCACCACCGTCTGTAGGGGTCGAGGAGACTGAGGAACCGTTGTTAGTTGGATCTTCTACCTCGACCTCCATGACCATGGACCAGTCAGTGTTGTCCGCGAGACCGTGCATAAAGTATTGGATCCATAGAGCGAGCACTGAAATAGAACACAGCAAACGATGTCCTCATGCTTCAAGCGTAACAATAGAGAAACAGTACGAAAGAGAGGGACTGTGTATGCTTTTTCATTGGAGTTGGACTCCACCTAACCCTGAAAAACCCAACTTCCGATCTTTGCCTGTACCAGACCGTTGTCCGAGGGACACAACGACATATGAACCCCAAGTCCAATTCCAGATAATGAGAAGTCCGCAATCTATATGTAATCCAAGAGTAGATAATGGGTATGCATAATGGTATACCTCACCCTTCTCCACAACAATTTCAAGCAATAATGTTCACGAAACTGTCACCAAAAGGAGTACAATGTGTGTACAAGGATAGCGGTGTTCAAAAAATATAGGAAAACCAATCACAGTAACTTAGCACAGAAGAGCGGACATTAATCCATTAAGAGGTTGGCCCAATTTCAAGGTCCAGGGAGGACAAGGTGAGAGGACACACGAAGCGGGTTAACAAGATATACGGTTATCATAAGATCCCATCAGAAGAATAGGCAAATACGGAACAACAAGAAATCAAGATAGTGTATGGCATGGAAATAGACACAGACATCGAATATATCCAAGCGAAATGAAGGTTGGGAAACGCCCAAAGCAAGATGCAGATAGGAAGTCCATAAATATCGAGGGGGTATGAAGACTGAGATAACCATAGGGTTTGGATATGTCTGTCTTGTATTTTTTCTATTTATTGAATATACAAATCTACAGTCAACTTTCAGGAAGGGGGATGCGGCCATACAAATGCTGCCTGGGGAAAATACAGATATAGGGAAGACTGGCGGCAGTGGAGCCGTTTGAACCCGGGACACCCAGGTCACTAGTGGTGACCTAACCATTTGGCCACCACAGCCCATAAATGAATAACAGTAGTAGACTGCGTGGATTGTGGTGCAGGGGAAACTCCACCTTTAGGGTGACTCTGGGCATCCGACAGATTTTAGAATTAATGTACTTTACAGCTGAACCGTCTGGTGTGATTCATTTTCCCAGTAGGCTAAAAGGTCCGCTATATGGGTTATATGCCTCTGCAATGATACCTTTTTTGTACAATGTGTCTTACTTCATTTGACACATCGGGAAACCACTGTGCATGATAGGATTTTTTTTAATCTCTTATACTACTAGTCTAATTTTAACAAACGCTTGAAGCATCCGGTAAAACGGACCAGTCGGAATAGCATACTAGCCCTTACGTTCACAAAGTGAATCGTAAGTTGTTCACTTCGCCTAATGTGCCACACCACCGCGCATATAGACGTAAATGTGTCCAAGCACTGTATTAGAATGTGCTAAACAGAGAAGGTGATACGTGATGGATGAAGCCTGAACTGAAACGCGAGGAAGAACTATGCGGTTGTTTCTCACTGGTTAGGTCTTATCAGCAGGGCAAATCCACCCAACCGGGTAGATACGGCTGTACAGTGCTTCTTATCTCTTCGGCTCCACAACTCTCATACGGAACGTTATATTGGAAGGAAACCTTAGAAGTATGTGGGAACCAGCTTTGTTAGTAACAAAAGCACACATTGCGTGGCACATTGTAGGCAAGATATGATATGTAACTGGAAAACTGTTCACAATTCTTATGAAGTTTTGGGGCCTTGCGGTTTCACATAGTTTTGTTTTTAGACGTTCCCAACCATTCTCCATGAGATTAAGAACCGCTGATCTCGCATGTCACGATGTGCAGTTAAAGTCCTGTTGGGATTGTAAAACTGGACATCTTGATAGCAGTATGGTGCAGCATTGTAGTTTTGGAAGATTGATGTTGATCTCTGTTTTGGCTTTTTTATTAAACAACTAAGTGTGATAAACAGCAGACGGGGTGAAACCACATAGCCACGAGGACCTGCTGTTCAATGGTGGAAACCGGCAACCTAAGCCTCGAACATGGAGTAGCGAACCACATAAGGACCCGATAGGTTAGGCGTGGTATTGAACCGGACAACAGCAGAGTTGCCTACCACCAAAGTCGGATGGCGGTGACGGGGCTCGAACTTCAGACCACAGGGTCCAAAGGATACCTATGGCTGTGACTAAACCACTACGCCATCACCACCCTATCTTGGCGGTAGCAGCTTTTTCTACAATCTTCATTTTCTCATTTTACTTCCTTTTATTGAATATGCAAAGATATAATTTTCAGGAAGATGGAAGCGGCCAATCAAAGGGCTGCCATTCAAAACACATGGGGAAAGTTAGGCTGTGGTGGTGGAATTCGAACGCACATCCCCGGGATGATAATTTGGTGACGTTCCCACCGGGTCATCACCGCGCTTTCCCAGAAAGGCCGGTCACTATCAGGGCGACGTGTCGAAGAAGTTTTAATTATTTTCTATCATGAACGAAACTCTACTGACCTCACCCTGTATTTATGCAATTTCTCATTAACCATACATAACATACAAACTTCAAATCTGCCAAACAACTATTTGAACAATTCACCTTGTCTTAGAAGCTCATTCGGTGGAGTCCGGTGAATTCTAAGGAAAACCTTTCGGGGCAGTCAGCTTACATGCTAACTGGTGGATGCCACATGCCTCTGTAAGTTGGATGGGTAAATTCGAATGTGAAAAGATCAGTGCTATCGGTGTGGCCTCGTAGCTCAGCTGGTAGAGCATGCGCGTACAAAGCGTAGGCGGCGTCCATGCGTGGGTTCGAATCCCACCGAGGCTACTGAACTTTTCACAATCGACATACATACTGCCTAGATCAAAGATGTTTAGTATGGTGGTGAAAAAATCAAGTCGAGTCAAGTCAGTAGTAGCCTTGTGCGTGCGGATGGGTGAATTTTCAGCATTTTACACCATACTTGTGGATTCATACTGACGAAATCATACGTAATGAAACTAAAAGCAGTAGATGTTGTCTTTCTCAAAAAAGCAAGCAACTGCGCAATTCTGTGGAAACTTTCTCCTTGTCAATAAGTAGACGTGCTATATATGGTAAAATAGAATTACAATATGAAGAGCTAGGTGCAAATATAAGTTTAAACCTTGAACGTGTGGATCATGTAGATACAGCTTTGCAAAATTCGTTGTGTAATAGTTGATGCGTGTCTGAGAGTATTTTGGCAATGAAATTTCCACACGCTTGTAGATATGAGGAGTCTGCAAACTTATCCCTGACACTGACAATACATCTGGAGATGTTTCAGAGATCTCGCCAGTAAACAAAAGTTTTTCTTTAACATACCGGAGAAAATCGCTAAGGAGTAATACAACACCAGTGGGGGGAGCACGCATGCATTCACAGCATTCCCATCATAGAAAAAATGAAATGGATTTTGATCAGAGCTTTGCTAAGCTCATTCAACCTGTAAAATTTGCGTTTTGGTTGCGAAATGTTATAAAACCACATCTCAGGGAACTGATGAAATTATCCAACATTTTATGAAGCACGCCATGATCCAAAGACAAAGGTTTTATTACGGGAAACACTTACAAGCGGTTGCTTCTCTTGTTCCATAAGGTTTTCGCAAAACCGATCACAGAGAGATGAGGAATGTCACCAAGTTTCTTTGTTTGATGTACTGTTACTGATGTCAAAATATCAAGACATGATGATGATGATTCATCCAGTTTTTATGCTTGAAAGAATTAATTATGGGTGCAGAAACAACGTAGAGAATTACTAATACTACTCATCCCGAGGGGAAATGAATGACGAAGGCATTCTAGTCGACATATTTGGAGCATCAGTTTAAATGAGTGCCCCATGAGGTGAGTGTTGGGTGAAAAGATGAACAGTGAACAACAAGGGTATTCAGGGCTCTGCATTATTTGATACACCAAAATCAAGTGCCCTCGAGTTCAGCGATACTGTGGATAGGACAATCTAATGATTCCAGTTCTTCCACAAAACACTTGGACTGAAGTCCCTGGACCATTTTGGTGGTCATTCTTTGTTGACTTTCCAAAATCATACGATCGTGTTGGATTCCATGCTACTCCATGAATATAACAAACATGGGAACAGCATATATTCAAATTTGCTAACTACTCGCTTAAGTAAACCAATATGTCTTGCAGCGGCGGACTACGCCTTGAAGCAGTTTAAAGAACAATTGGGTTCTTCTTGAACAATGCTACCGAGATCTTTGACATTCGAGGCACACTGAGGTTTCTGATTTCCCAGAAACCGAGTTTTACGACTAAGGGATACGACCATACATTTCGGTGCAATGAGTTCGGTATTGTTTTGAACTGACATTGATAATCAGCAATATGTGTTCTCTGAGATGCCAGTGAGTCCTCAGGTTTTGTCACTGTTTTGCTTATTTTTGCATCAACCGTCATTTTGCTGACAATTTGATGAATCTGGGTAATTTAATTTCCTGTATAAGTATAATTCGGGCATTGTCTATTTCTCGTACACTATCAGGGTTACTCCGTTGGTGCATGAAACACACCGCTCAAGCATACTTCCAATCCGGTACCGAATTGTCTAAAGTTCGAACCTATTACACTCATGAAGGATAACTGTTTTCAACCCAAGGAAAGTGCGAAATGCCATTCCATTTACGTAAATCTACCTTATCAACGAACCTCAGACATTTTCACTGCGGATCGAATACGGGATATGTGCTAGGCAGTCTATGGTTTTGATGTTTCGGTGCAGCGACCATATTGGGTGGTGGTGACCCTTTGGTAACGTCATCAATTGTCACCTAGGAGGAAGTGTGTTCGAATCCCACCACCACCGCCTGTCTTTCCCCATTATGTGTATTGTATGGTAGCCCTTTGATTGGCCGCTCCTCCCTTCCTGAAAGTGGTATTTTTGTATGCGATGGAAATATTTATGATAATCAACTAAGAGCACTGGCCAGTTGTTTCACCTTGTTTGGGACTCGTCAGCATTGCGTACGTTTTGTGTCCCTGTCAGGACTCGAATCGCGAACAGTCGGGTCGGGAATTAAAACCCGGACCCCTGAGCCACACGGTCGA